GCCCTTTGCTGGACCCTCTCCAGCAGATCCCTGTCTTTCTTGAACTGGGGAGCCCAGAACTGGACACAGTGCTCCAGATGTGGCCTCCCCAGGGCAGAGCAGAGGGGGAGGATGACCTCCCTCCACCTGCTGGCCACACTCTTCTTGATGCCCCCCAGGATGCCATTGGCCTTCTTGGCCACCAGGGCACATTGCTGGCTCACGAGCACCCTGTTGTCCACCAGGACTCCCAGGTCCCTTTCCACAGAGCTGCTCTCCAGCAGGTCAGCTCCCAACCTCTACTGATGCATGTACTTTGCACCCACTGCAGCCGTCCTGGACACCATCAGCTAGCAGGAACCTTCCCGAGGAGACCCTGGCTCTGTGCACAGCTTGGGGGCGCTCGGGACCCCAAGCCATGGTGGTGTCCCCAGCTCTGCCTCCACACAGAGCTTGGACGAGGGTTTGGTCACAGCAAGATCTGGACCTGATTGCTTCCAAGCTGGTTGTCAGGCTGGGCTGGGCACCCCAAGTGCGGCCGATGTACCACGCTCGGGATCCGGCTGCCCACCTGAGCCAAGCACACGGGCAGCCCGGTGCTCACCCACCACGGATAATTTGGGCCCCTGACGCTGTGGGGTCAGGTACCACCTGAGCCTTGGAATTGGGAGGCAGCTGAGCGATGCTGGGCTGGAAACACAACTTGGCGCTCTCCTTGGCAGCACGGAGACCCAGGGGTTATGTCCTGAGATAGCAGGGTGAAGTGATCCTAAAGCACATGCGGGGTCCTGCTCGCCCTCCCGACTTCCCCGGCACTCACCACAATCCCCAGAGCCTGCCCAGTCTCCCTGGGCTGCTACCGATGAGCAGCCACAGCCTCCAAGCCTGCCAGGGCTCCCCAAACTCAAGCCAAAGGGGACCATTCCCAAACGCGTGGCAGGACAGGTCACTGGGACCCGTGTATCTGCATGGAAAAAGCAGAAACAGAGTTGTTACCCCTTCTCTGGAGCTGCAAAGAACCAGGCAGGTCGCTCTTCTCTCACAAGCGGGATGTTACTTCTCTCCCGCTGCAGCCAGAGCATCTCCCAGGAGACCTCCAGGTCTGCTCCCGGGACTGCCCTCACGTCCGTGGGGAGGGAGGGGGACCCAAAGCCGTCTCCTCACCCTGTCTCGGGAGATGCAAATCTCTCTCCCCCGCCAAGAAGTCTGTGGGGAGCGTTTCCCATAGAGAGATCCACGGTTACCTAATGACTGTACCCTTATCTAATTAAAATTAGTGATTAGCCCCCAACGGTGCTTCAATACAGGCAGGTCATATAACCGCGAGTAATGATTTGCAATCAGGAAGCAGCAGTCAAGACAGACTCACGTAAGGGCGTCTGTCCATCGCCCAAAGCCAAGGACGAGCTTGGGAAGCCACACGCTAAACAGACACACACAGGCACGATGGTTTCACGTGAAAAGAGGGAAAGGAACAAAACAAAGCGAGGGATCAGCCAGGCCAGACAGCTTCTAGGTCTTACAGCAGCACAGCGACGCGCTGTACGTGGAGCTATAGATGTTTTAATTCTGTGGAAATTGGGAGTTGAGCAAATCTCTTCTGTGCCAGAGCTGGGAGAAACGTAAGAATTGCAACACGCTCCCGGACCATCCCTGCCTCCACCCGCTCTGTGTCATCTCGTTAAATGCCGGCAGGAGGGTGGGGTGATCCCTTCACCGAAGCAGCGCCTGGCACTGCCATGCCATAACACAGGAAAAGGTGAGGCACGGCCCAGCCCGCCGGGCATCCCCCCTGCTTGTATTTACACGCTCTAAGGGCCATTCTTGCAAGTTTTTGCTCTTCCTCTTGGCCTGCGTACGTTGGGAACGGGGTGGGAGGACAAAGGGATGCAGCAAGCTCCGGGCAGGCTAATCCCCTCGTTGGCATGCAGTTCAACGCGCGTTTAAGCTTCCCTCCTGGGTCAGTTTGCTGCACCGCTCTCCTGGAAGGCGCTGGTGACGCAGCCAGGCTGGTTTGGTGGCACGTCCAGACTAGAGGTTGCCAGCTTCCCCGGCGTCGCTCCGCGTTGCTCTCACAGCGCTCTGCGGTATCACAGGACGGCAGCCGACAGCCCTCTCGCAAAAAAGGTGACATTCTTGTCCTGGATCTTATACTGGTAGATCTGGATGTGATCCTGCTCCGCCGTCAGCTCCAAGGACACTCTCCTAATTATTTTAATCTGCAAAGGGAAAGGAAGAGGAATATCATCCCTTTGGCTGCCCCAGTCACAGCATCCTCATCCTCCACGCCTCCTGCTGTCCCGCAGGGAAAGGAGATCACTGGTTAAAAAAACAACAATCACACAACTGCCTGTAACCAGTGCCTTTGGTGGCAGCCCCTCATGACAGACCATGCAGCAACCAGTCCCCGGTGACCCAGCTGCCCTCCCAGCCCAGATCACTACAAGCCAGGCTGAGATCCCCAACAGGAGAGTTTGGGGAAGTTTCCCAGGAATTTGTAGCGCTAGGACAAGGAGTAATGGTTTTACACTGAGAGAGGAGAGATTTAGACTAGATATTAGAAAGAAATGGTTGCCTGTGAGGGCGATGAGCCCCTGGCGCAGGTTGCCCCGAGAAGCTGTGGCTGCCCCATCCCTGGAGGTGTTCAAGGCCAGGTTGGACAGGGCTTGGAGCAACCTGGGCTGGTGGGAGGTGGCCCTGCCCAGGGCAGGGGGGTGGAACTAGATGAGCTTTAAGGTCCCTTCCCACCCAAACTATTCTATGATTCTACCTAGATATTCCTGATTAGGGGACTGGAACATCTTTCTTATAAGGAAAGGCTGAGGGACTTGGGGCTGTTCAGTCTGGAGGAGAGAAGACTGAGGGGGGATCTTATCAACGCTGATAAATCCTTCAAGGGAGGGTGCCAGGGGGATGGGAACAGTCTTTCCAGTGGTGCCCAGTGACAGGACAAGAGGTAATGGGCCCAAACGTGACCATAGGCAGTTCCATCTGAACCTGAGGAGGGCCTTCTCTGCTGTGAGGGCGGCAGAGCAGTGGCACAGGCTGCCCAGAGAGGTGGGGGAGTCTCCCACTCCGGAGCCATTCCAAACCCGCCTGGACGCCGTCCTGTGCCACTGCTGGAGGTGCCCCTGCTCTGGCACGGGGGGGCACTGGGGGAGCTCCAGAGGGCCCTCCCGACCCTCACCAGTCTGGGATTCCTCTGCCATCACCCTGGGGTGGGAGACAGCCTGCGCTGCAGCTGCTGTATAAACCCCTTCCAGCTTCCAGGGGTGGGGGAGTCCCCAGGCGGCAGGATGTCCCCGAGCACCCCCACAGAAGCAGAGTCACAGCCAGGTGCTCCAGCAGATCCTGGTGACCGCAACAAGGCTGCTTGTTCGTCCTTAGCCGTGCTGCAGACCAGGCTAGTCCTGGGCCAGCAGAGCACGTCTCGCCTACCCTTGGGCCTGCAGGCAGTATTGTATGTGACATTAATGTGTGCCACCTCTCCGTGCTCTCCCGTGCATTACCTGCCCGTGAACATCCTTGCAGAAGCCGGTCGCCAGACCCTCTACCCACAGGATCAGGTCACTGTGATGACACAGGGAATTCACCACCAGTTCATTTTCCTCGTCTTCTGAATCCTCGTTGCTGTGAACCAGCACCACGATGTTTCCCTGGAACGAGAGCACCAGGCAGCGGTGAGACCCTCACCGATTCCTAATCCGCTCAGGGTAAGGAAGGGGAGATAGCAGCAGGAGCTTGCACAGATGCTAACCAAGCAACTTCGACATCCCCCAGCAGGGCAACTGGTTCTGAGCTCCAGTCCACTGGGAAAATAAACAGCAATAAACTCTGAAACAGCTTGCTGTATATGTATTGTGTATACATATACACATACATATACACATACACATACACATATTGTGTATACATATACACATACACACTTATATATGTAATACGCAGGCTAAAAATACATCGAGCCTTTGTTACAAGACAGCTGTCTAGTTAAACCAGTCTGTCAGGCCACGCAAATGACACCTCTCTGAATGAATTCAGAACAGCTAAATAAATACGTGACCGAAAGGCCGCAGCCAGAGCTGCGATGTTCAAACCTTCAGAGCTCTCGCAAGAAGCAAAGCGCTCCCCAACGCAACACCATCTCTATTAAAAATACATCCCAAGAGTCTCTGCCTCAGCCCAGGCAGGTCACCAAGGACTTAAAATAACATGAAATTCCCAATCAATTAAAATGTACTTTAAAGCTTCAGAACATCCTACACAGAAATAGAAATGTGTTAGCACGATTTATCATCTTTTTTTTTTGGCTATTTTTGAGGTAAATATTCTCAGCAAGACGAACGTTCCCTGTCGGCATTTACAGCACAAACACCCTGGCACCATACGAAGTGCAGGATAACAAAACCTGACACCGTCTACTTTTATTTCTCACTCAAGCAGAGAGAGAAGTGGCCAGGGTGGGGGACGCCGCAACGAAAGCAGCAAAGGATGGATGTGACTTTAACGAGTTTTGGCTGCGCTGCTCTCCGAAGTTAGCACATCGCTGGGGAGATCTTTGTAGAAGTGCCGCAAGGTCACACGCCCTTAGAAACCAGACGGTGCCGCACACAGCAACACTGAAGATTGGTGGAAGCAGAGACTCGCATCCCCTCCAAGTGGACCTTCATCTCTGTCCCCTGCGAGACTCATCAGCCTCTCAGAACCTTCCCAACGCGTTTCCTTCCCTGCCCTCCCACACGCACACAAACATGGGTGTGAGTTGAGATCTCTGGAGAGCCAGGAGCTCCGAGAAACGATATTTTACACTTCGGAGCTCGGCTCACCCATCAGGGACAGAGAGCACCCTTCGCTGGGCAGCACCTCCTGGGAAACCAGTTGCGAAGGACCCTACACCAGTACTCCAGGGATTAACACAACTCCTGAGAGCGGGCCTAGAGCAATGATTTGAATTTCTTGGACAGCCAAAGCCTTCCAAAACATCGTCATGCACACATGTAAAAAGAAAAGAAAGCCAGGCTTTGCTCCAGAGGCTCTTTTGTACACGTAGCGTACAGGACGCTGCGTGCGGAAGGAGCAGTACCTTCAGCTGGGAGCACACCGCGACTCTGCAGTAGTGGATGAAGTCCAGCACCGCCACCGGCGTGGCGCCCAGGCTGAGCAGGACGCTGAGGTCGTCCACCAGAAGCACAGGGCCCTTCCAGGAGTCGCCGCCGCCGGGAGTCAGGGAGGTCCGGACAAAGTCAAACAAGGCTTTGAGGTTGGAAGCGCTCTCACTGGAAGAGAAGAAGCAGATCTCAAGGGACTTGGTCCACCCACACATTGTGTCTCCCTCTCCTCACCCACTGACCCAACATGGGGAATGCCAGTCTGCACCCTCCCAGCTGTCCCCACTGCAGTGACAGTCACCAGGTCCTGCACTTCCCTACAGTCACTGCTCCTTCACTCACCTGCATGCAGTAAAACCCTTCTGCCCTGCTCCACGGATCACAGAATGGTTTGGGTGGGAAGGGACCTTTAAAGCTCATCTAGTCCA